GAATATTTATTTCTTATATATAACTTATCTTTTCTAAACTTCTGAAAAGAAAAGAATAGCTCGAACAGCTAGGATTCAGTAGCCAAACTCCACGTGTTCCTTAAAATCTTTTTGGTTAAAACGGGTGGCCTAGAAAGTCGTATATTTCTTCCACCTAGATTCCTAACCGCGATCTGTCTTCAGCTTGTAGCAGATAATAGTCACGTGTATCAATAGACCCTATTCACGATGTCGCAAAAGCGAGATTTCTAAGAAATAGTATAATGTGTTATGTTAAAGATTAAAAATGACAGATTAATAATAATTTATTCTTTTTTCTTTAATAGTAGGCACAATCTTTGCATGTAATTTAAAGATTTGTTTAAAGTATTACACTGATTGGTTCGTATATATTTTAAATAAAAACAATTGTCAATTGTTTTTATTTCAAAAAGTTTCTAATTTTTTATCCAAGAGATAAAAATGTAGCCCTTCGACAAAAAATCCAATAAATTTCTTCTTTTAAATCAAATAATCAAATAAAGAAATAACGGCCGTAAAAAAAAAGTAGATATCATAATTATAATACTCTAATAACAGTAATTTAAAATTATGATTTAGTAATTTAAATAACAATTGTGTACAGTATAATAACAACAATATTTTTTTCTCTAACAACAATAATTCAATAAGATTACAATATAATACGGAAGTATATAGAAATACATAGAGTCGCTACAAAGCAGTCCAATAAAAACGGTATAACGGTTACATGGGACTTCCTAAGGTAAGCTGTCCGCGAACGGAGTCACAGATAAATGATGACGACGAGAATTGTCACCCGGAACGACCGGTTAACACATTGCCACCCCTGTCATCGATCCGCATCGTCCAATAATGCGTTTTGTAGACAAGATTTATGTACCTGCTGTCCAACCTTTTCCCGACAGAGGTCTACCATTATTTGGGTGTAATTTCTAACTTCACGAATGCTTTTCAACACAAAGCGATTTTTATTTGACAAACTGATTTGTCGCCTACTTTTCTTATTTCTATTGTCACATTTTCATTATTATTATTAGTTTTGTGAATAAATTATATGTATTTACACATCTTTTTATGTGATAATAAATAACGAATATATATAAATCCTGTAGGATGCTTGGATTTCTGAAATACCCAAAAATAAATGAACGTACCGATGAGCGCGATGTCTATTCGCTTAATTAAACTATCGCTTTATTTATTCGGGCCGACGAGCTGTCTCGTTAATAATATACTATCTCCCGCATCTTTCACAAGTGAATGCCGATCGTCAGGCATCCCTGACGGTGTCGTGCTTAATACGATCATCGATCGCCAGGCGTGGATTCCACGCGTGTCCGCATTTAGCGTATTACCTGAGAGATGATCCTGCATCAAATCACGATCGATAGGATTGACGGCGATCTTTAGATCGTGAGAGAGCAAGTAAAAGAAAGGGAAGGGTGAAAGTGGGAGACAAAATCGAAAGATTAGCCGCGGTCCATCGTAGCAGAAAGGCTTTAATTAAAGGAACATATTGCCACTAATATTCGACGGACGGTGTCAATCTGTCAAGCTACTATAAGACACCGATCTGAACAGGCTGGAGACCAGCATAGCACGGACTATTGAACACGCTGTCTTCGATTTGGTTGTCGTGACCAATCACCCGAAATTAATATATCGGATGACTAACGGAGTAAGCGAACCACGCGAACAGTTTCGTCTTTCATCGAATTCAGATTTACCGCGCACAGATAAAGGTTTATATTTGATTAAGTGTAAAAACCGAACGATTGACTGTTAATATGATTACGCGATCAAGATGAAATTCGTTCGTGACTGTTTGCCAATTCCCTTCTTTCCGCGACGAGATAAACGCATCTATTGTGTGCTTATGCAAGATCAATGAAAATGGTATTCTTCGATGAAAGTAGATATTATAATTATTATATTATTTGATATAATTTAATATACTAGCACATTCCTTGCGCGCGCTACGCGCGCGATGGTCTATTATACTCTTTTTAAATATCATGAATTATGTTTCTTTGAAACTTGTTTTGAAATCAATAACTCCTCTAATTCCTCCTACTAATACAAAATTTCCCTGAAATTTGAAAACCTTTAGAATTTCATTATTGTTTTCGATCGCCACATTAATTCTACCATTTTGATAAACAATATTTAGTTTATTTTTTTATTCACCGCTCTAAGAATGTTCACAATCCGAATTTTTTGCTCATCGTTTACGTCGAAAAATTCGACCTGCAGTGTGGCTGTGCTGACTCGCGTACAAGAGTAAAGTACATTAAAGCAATCAATTACAGGGATCATTTTGGTATCAAAATGTTTCTAGAATTATTTGCTCTAAGAATATCCAGAATCCGATTTTTTTGCTCATCGTTTACGTCGAAGGATTCGATCCACAGTGTGGCTGTGCTGACTTAAGACTAAAGTTGGCACAGCCACAAAGAAAAATAGCAGCAAATGAAAAATCAAGTACATATTCTTGACGGGCTTTTTTTTGCTAATTTAAATTCTACTTCAAAAACACTAAAACCAAAATCCCCCGTACATTCCATCCGCCAGATTAACGAAACAGATTTTAGAAAACTGAATCGAAACGCCATTTTGAACTTTCAATTTTTAAATACGGATTCGTAACGAACGTCCCCAAAAACCACCTGTAACCAAATTTCAACAAAATCGAAGAATCTTAAGGATTTCCGTAACATTTCCGTCTGCCATATTGGATCAACTATTTCAAACTTCTAATTTTTGAGTAAAGATTCGTATCGAACGCCCCCTAAATCACCAATATACCAAATTTCACCAAAATTGAAAAATCTTTAGGATTTCCGTAACATTTCCGTCCGCCATATTAGATCAGCTATTTCGATCTTTCAATTTTTGAGTACAGATTCGGAACGAACGCCCCCTAAATCACCAATAAACCTAATTTCACCAAAATCAAACAATCTTTCAAACAATCTGATTTCCGTTACTTTTCCGTCCGTCATATTGGATCCACTATTTCAAATTTTCAATTTTTGTGTACAGATTCGAAATAATCGACCCCGAAAATCCCCGAATACGAAACCACATCAAAATCAGAGAATTCCAACAGCCTCAACGAAAAGAGGCTTCAAAAAAGCGTGACACGCCAATTTTTAAATATGATGACGATAATATAATTATAAATTTATACAAGTACTCTTCTACATGAGAAAAGCGCTAAGTAAATTTTTATCAAGATAAAAAAACCTTTAAAGATAATAAAAAATACAAAATATAAAATCTTTTTATAATGTTATGAAAATAAAAATAACTGAAAATGAAGAATTCTGACATCTCGATAAAGAACTTAACACAAAGATATTTTCCTCGTTTATCATATATATGATGTTTACTTTCATTTAGAAATATTCTATTAAAAATAATTGTATTCTATAAAATTACGAAATCTATAAAATATATTATAAAGCGCTGCATTAAAGTCACACGAATAATAATTTTCAACAAGGTAAACTTCTTTTTTTATTTCAGTAATTACGTAATTTTTTTTGCGTACATTGCTGACAAAAAAACAAGGAAATAATACATAAAGAATCAATTTTTTAATAGATAATAATGACACGAACGCGGATATGACATAAACGGTCTATAATAACATAAAAATCGTGAAACTTCGATTTCTCAACATTCCGACCAATTAAGTATTCTTGTTGGCAATACCGGTGACATTATAATTATTATCATATTACTACACGTTATTATTTGCTGTGACACTTTGCAGTTTGATTTCATAGTTGTATACGTGTCAAAGTAGTCCCAACATTAAAGAGAGCAGTTATTATCTTTTTTCTAGAGTCACCGAGACACTATATATATTTAGAATCTCCCATTAAGGTTAATTTAAAAATAATTACCACTTATTCGTCCGTAACGTATCCTAACTCGAGAAAAGGGCATACTCAAATAGTAACATATAAAAAAACACTATGTCCCTCTCCAAACTGTACATACAATAAAATAAAATGCATCATAAAGAATTTGAACAAAAAATATGTGTTATATAAAGAATAGACAGAAAAATCGACATCTTCCTTTTCTTTAAAGATAAATCTATCTTAAACTGCATCTTTTTAAATATTTTCATTTATCCCAATAAACTCTATGTATAATAAATCGAATTTAGAGACATGTAAGCGTAACAATATAAAAAAAAGTTTTATCATTTTTCATTGAATAATAATCAATTATCCTAAATGGAAACGTAAAAATACCAAGGCCATTGTTGTACATCGTGCTTTACAATCGTTAATACACTCGTATCGGTATATAGAGTGGTCAACGTCATGCTCCACACGCGGAGGGACTCCTTAAAGGCCTCGCACGTAGAAAGATCCTTAAAGGTCCTAAAGGGGTAGCCCATTCTGGAGGTGTGCCGATCGGGTACCGGCATTTAATCGTAACAAATCGCCCTCAGGCCCTGTAGGGAAGTGTGTAATCGACATCCGGTTCGCCTAATGTCGAACGAGTAGCGCCCTGTAATCTGCCGCTAGCGTGTGCATTGTCGTGCGCGGGTCCCCTTCTCGCTCCTGAAAGAGGCACCATAGGACCGGAGATCCCTTTCTCGACGAGAGACCAGGGCCCGGGATAGCGTCTGCTCGACCTTGCGACCATGAATCGCGAATAATGCGACCGAATTCACGAATTTACGGAATCAAGTATCCGACGTGCGCAAAGGATTCATTCGAATATCTTTAAATGCCCTTCGTTAATTATAAAATGTGAAAAAAATCGCTTATTTCTAAATTTAAATCCATTTGAACATGGAAAAAGTTATTAAAGATATATGGTCCCTAATACGTTGAAATAGTCCATTACACATTAGATGTATCAAATAATAAACTAAGAGTAATATAAATTATTCAACCTCAATTTCTAATTACTTCTAAAATTAATTATTATTATATCTTAATGAAACTTACCGCGGAGCAGAATCTTCTTGAGAGATCTCCTAACGGTCGTACAGTTCCACCTTCGATTTCGGAATTGGTATTGACATTCCCTAGTACCCACTTGAACACCCTTCGCGATTTCTTTCAACAAAGATGGCTCCTTACGACAAATGTCAGCTAGCTTCCCCTTTAAACGTCTTGTTTTCTTACAGACCAGCATCGGATCCATCACCAGCTGGCTTCCTACGGTCCTGTGTATCAAAAATTAAAATATATGATTAAATATATCATATTATTATATATATATTATTATATATCAATTTTTTAAATTTTCCAAAGGGCGCGTGGGTTTGATTGTGTCGGGAACACGGCCCACTATCATTTTCCCAAGAGATTTGGTAAAGTTAGATCGTAGAAGAATGGGGCATAAATTTGCAGTTATTAATTTCGAGGAGTACCAGTTGCGCTATTCTCATGGTTTTGAGATCAAATATTATCACAAATACGTACACGCACATACATACACATAATCACACTCACACTTATGCGCGCGAGCGCGAACTTTGTTTTACAAATACATGAGATAGCATTAGATATAGTAGGATCTGTAAAGCTGGCACAACATTCTGTCGATATCAAAAAAATTACAACAGTTCCAGTAGCACTTTTCATAGTTCTACAGTTCTACCTAGAAATAAAAAATAGTTCCGCAGTTTTAATATGAAAAAAATTAAAATTGAAAATATGGCGTGCTAACTACGCGAAACTGGCACGTCAGATTTCCTCTAAAGTACGAGAAAAAAATTAATATTTGCACTTTTAGCAACAGTTCCCGATAGTTCTACTAAAAACCAACTAAGATATGCATTTTCAAAATAAAATAACAATATTTAACAATTTTTATACATCCTATATATACAAAATGGCATAAAACTTCTAGAAAAAGTGACGTGCTGACTATTTCTATCAGTTTCAACGGAAGTTCTCGTTAGTTCTCACAGAGTTCTATGCAATGCAATCATTTATAAGCAGAGTTCCGGCGTATATTTGTTATCATATATATTTGACCTCAAATCGCGCTACCTGTATTCCTCAAAATTCATAACTATAAATTGATTCCCCATTTTTGTACGATTTAACTTTGCCAAATCCCTTGGGGAAATGGTAGTGGGCCGTGCCCCCGACATAACTAAACCCACGCGACCTTTGGAAAATTTTTGTGGTCACACAGTGTTATAAATAGATTCAATTGTAGCGTGAGCTTACAGTTCTATTATAAAAATGAATATTAATGAGTAACGTGTATGCTTGTCAGGATGTTACGTTAAACTGTCCTCGGCGAGCTCGCGTCTCTGCCTCGTCTCTTTCCCCGCACCGAGGAGGCATAAACGGATAGCCAATAATAATAAGCAATCACACGACCCCGAGGGCTCAATCACATTTCACGGGCAAACCGCGACGGTTATAAAATTCGGGAATCTTCCGCGCGCGAGTTTCCCCTTTTTTCCTCTCCTCTTTCTCAAGCAAACAGACGCTCGCGTTCCTGCACGAACGATCACTCGAACGGACTTTACATACAACGGCAGAAAACGCCTACACAATATAAATTTGTTATACCTCTTAGAGTGAATTGTTACTCTAAAGAGCGAAATCTCACTAGATTGAAAATTGAGCCACTCTGTTTCAAGACTGACTGAATTCTTTTCACTTTTTAAAGTAAAATTTCACTCCAAGGGATTTAGAGAGCAAAAAATTATTAATAAATGAAAATATTGTTATAAATGTATATACATATATATCTCTTGCATCGTTTAAATTTAATAATTTATCAACGATAAGATTATATAATAGATAAATATTGATATAAATAAAAAATTTATATGTAATTACACATGATATACATATTTGTTCTTGAAAATGACAAAAAATAGCAACAATCTAAACGCTTCCGTGTTTAATTAATTTATCTGCGCTCAATACTCAAGGTAACGATATAATCGTGCGAACCGCGAGGAACTCGGAGCAACGTCGTTCCCTCAAGACACGCGTTAGAGAGGGAAACGGTTAGAATAATTTACGGAAGCTACAAATCCCGCGGCCGAGTTGCTGGTTATTTAGCTACGCAATATCTTTCCGCGCGCAATGTGGAAAAAGGAACGCTCTCGTGTGAATGTGAGATTAAGCGGCAGCTCTCCTTTTCCGTGACGCTTATCCATTCCTTCTAAAACCCGTAGAATCTCGGTGGTTCTATAAGCACGAGTGTTATGTCTCGACGCAGCCCTGATCCTCGCGATTAATCGCTCGTGTTTGGATCAGAATTTATTTCTCTTTAAGCACACCGTTGTGCCTCATAAATCAGTCGGTGCTTCGCTATTTACAGAGAATTCGGATTTACCCCATTAACATCGTCTGAACACGGAAGATTTGTCATTCTCAACGAATTCTTTAATACTACCAATTTTTCATGTTCGCTACGCAAATAATCAGATCGTACTATGCAACAAGTTATAATAGTTACATAATAGAGTAATAAATTAACAAGGGGAAAGCGCTAAAGCTTTAAATACGTTTTATTCGATTGTGGTTACTAAAGTGGCGGTATCAGCTTGATACACGTAATTTACTAACGACGAGTGAATTATAGTAATTGTATTGATGCCGTGCAATTGCGGTCGACACAACGTGAAATTATTGTGCCAATGAAAGTTACTGTTTCTCTTCTCTTTTCTTCTTCTCCGGTATGCTTCACGCGTACATATACTAAACATCTCTCACATTTAGTGATACCTAACGCATAAAACTTTATTATAAAAAATCAATGATCGAATGGTCGAAATCAGATCAAATGAATGAAATGACGAAAAGATGACAAAAGTGACAGTAAACTAAGATCATGTGATGGAATTCCGTGAAGGTATGGTGAAATTTTGTGAGAGAAAAAAAAATGAGATTTGCAATACCGCATCATAAGAGAATAAACGACGGGCAAAAATCGCCGAAGTAGATGAAGAAGATATAAGAACAACGATAGTACATCACGAATAGTAGGACAATTGAATCCGCGCCGGACACGCTAACACCATTACGATAATTAAAGCTGCGGCATATTAAACATCGTGGCGACGTAATCCTATGAATGAAAAAGAAAGACACATAGCAAGAAGAAAGAAATGTTATGGAGGTACAGGAAGACCCTATAGAAACGGAAAGAACGAACGAGTATGCCGAGAGGGTGTAAAGAGGGAGGAGAGAGCAGAGAGGAGACAGCTTGATGATTGCGCCGGGGGTAGAAAAAAAAGAAGAAGAATAAAGCGAAATGGATTCTGAGTGAACTACGAGCGGTGGGAACTACGAAGTTGAGAAAGACGACTCGGAGGCAGAAAGGTACCAGAAGAAGGACGTAGGGGAAAAGGACGAAGTGGAAGAAGCGCGGACCCGCGAAGGGCACGAAGACGGAAAGGTAAAAAGAGAAACGGTAGGGGCCCAGGAAGGGTTACGGAGGGAAGAGGGAGAAATGGAGAAGAAGAAGAAGAAAGAGGACAGTCCGGGCGACCTTCGTTACGAAACGTTAATTAAGATCATTAGTTCTGCGTCGGTAGGATGCCAGGGCGCGTACACGACGGCCTCTCGGGAATGCAACGACCTTAATGGCAATAATTCCGTTAAGGACGGTTGCTCGCGCGCCCATGTACATCGCCACGGCGTTCGTTCCCGATGTGCCTCCATTCCCTCCTTCCCCGCTTTTCGTTCTGCACGAACAGGAATAAGAAGCTCCGCGGGAGTAGTACGGACATGGAGAGTCGTGCACGAGAGTGACATCGTCATTTGGGCGAGGAGGATTCCACCTCGAGTGGCGACTATAACCGAGAATGACGACGACAAGAACGGAGATGATACGCGAGATGATACGCGGACGGGAATTCACGAGAAATCCCTCGATCGAGAGATCGTGGGATGATTTCGCGCGTGAGAGAGGTAGAAGGAGATATGAGCGGGGTAGAGGAAGAAAAGGGGAAAAAAGGAGAGCAGCGTCGCTCTCGTTGGAGCAAAATATGGCGCATGTAATGTCTCGCGGGACGATCAGGTCCACTGACAGAGTACAAGCCGCAGGAACTTCGATTCGTCGATATTCCTGTTAAGGCCCTTGGTCCCGATAGAGTCTGACGGACGACAAGCGCCGAAGCTTCTTCAATCTGTTACGAGGGTTCTCCGAAGAAAACGGTATCCTGTCTTCGTAACGAAAACGCCGTTCGTATAAAACATATTGCATTATATATAGCATCAAGGAGAATGTTCTCATCAAGAGGTATTTCTCCATTTATTAAATATCACTATTACTATATTCTGTATCTTTGTGAAAATATTTTGCATCTTCCAGTCCTTGAATACTTTCCTAATTGTTTCTCATACAATCTTAAATATATCTTTCGGGTTAACTATTGATTAAAAAGATTGGAAGATGCGACTTTACGCATATTTCCTACTTCTCTTAGATCGCGACCAGCTGTCAGAAACTGCGAAATCTTCCTGGAATTAACGCATATACTATTTCTCGACTTGGCATCAATCTACGCGAGAATGCAACGAAACCATACCAAGCGCAAGATAATAGACGAGCGACATAGATATAGCTATATATTCCGAGAAGTTGCAGTATGCGAAACTACACGAGAAGTTAAACATTATATCAAGTGTAGGTTATTGTCGTGGTTCAAAAGTCTTACATTGTGTGAATTTTATGAGAGAGAGGAAATAAAAATGCCGGTCGGAAAGATGGTAAACATTTATGCGTATACAAGTACTTTTATACACAAGTACTCAAATAAATTGTCAGATTATCGTGCCTTATGTAAATCTCGAAAACTGTGCCTTACATATTTTATTTTTAGTAGTAATATACCGATAAGTGACTTTACACCGTAAATGTAAATTAAATCTCTGACTCTTAATGATATAATATTCATATTCAAATATTTATTACTACGCGACCATAAACTGTATTACCGTGAATTTTTTTATAGCGCTATTACGATATACTATAATTAATTACAAGATTTCCGTCACAACATATGGTTTAAAAAATTTAATAACAGTATTGGTTGAAAACTGAATCACAAATCACACTGTAAGTTAAAATAACATCCAATGCACTTCGCTAATTCGTCATGATTTATTCTAATCTCATTGCGCTTATAATTCGCACTGGTAGTTTTCGTTGAAAAAGCGTCACATGTACAAATAAAGGCGGAGG